TTTTTTTCATTGTTTGGTAGTCATGCTTGACAGAGGAAAAGTGAATCATCGAAAAGAAAATCAGCCAGTAAAAACTAGAACTTTAAATTTTACTAACAAAAATCATCTTCTGCTTTAAATGTCAGCATTTGATTTAAGTGTGATAAATATATAATTTAATCAAGATGCTGATAACTATAAAATTACTATTCAGTATGTTTTGCCTTGTTCACTGTTTGTTGTAATGAGCTGAGCAACAATCCTGTTGGGCAAATGGCAAACATTCATCTATTTGTTATCTAATTGTGGAAACTATTAAAAATCAATTTTTAAAAAAGAGCTACACAATTTGCCTTGTAACAGCTTAAATGAGATGACGAGACATTAGGATTTAATCAGCCCAGATGCTCAATTTAACAAATTCTAGTGCTGCCACACACACATACACTGCCAGAGGCTGCAACTTCCCCAGACTGTCCAACGTGACACTGTAGAGCCGCTGGGCTCCTGGGGTTGGCTGCTCTCAAACACTCATGAAGAATTAATGATTGTAAATGCAAGTTAACACGTGTGCCCGTGTGCATGAAGGCAGAACACAAAATGATGCAGAATCAGCCAGTTAGTGTTGTTTCTATGCAATTTATGATGTGAACTCGTCAAACAATATAATAAACATTTCAGAGATTAGCATGTCACTTTAACAGCATATAGCTTAAGCATGAGATAAAGCGTTAAAGTGTGTAGTTCAAAAGTGTTAAACTCTTTGAAGTTTGGAATCCGTGCAAAGTGCAGGCTTTTGTTATTTGTTATTAATATTCTTGACGTAGTTTGGAGCACAATTATTATTTTTATACATGTGTATTATTTGTTTCATTGTTTAGTAAACTGGTGTAAATGTTGGGTAGGAAATATCAAGTGAAAAATGTGTTTGATTGCAAGTTTATTTTGTTTTCTGGAAAAACATTATAATATAATTAAGTAACATTATATTGAAAATCCCCATATATGATTCCCTATATGCTTATACATGGTCAAGCAAGAGGCATAGTGTTAAATAGCTCTACATAGTTTTATTATCACTTTGACCTTCACGTCATTCTGTTGATCTTGAAGGAGAGATCAAAGGTCAAATGTGACAAGACATTTAAAATCCTTATGTCAACAATACACACCATTAGTGTATTAGCGTAAGTATCATTGATTCTAAGTTATAAGGCTTTTGGTGGATGTTGGGCAAATTGACACGCAAACACTACCAAAAACATAACCTCCTTGGTGGAGGTATAAATGACACCTTCAAATGTATTCCTTTAATTTACTTTATTACAAGTATGCACATGTTCCCTTTTAATGAACCATTAGTTTGCAAAACAGATGATTAACAGCGACGTCTTTGTACCATTAAGTCTTTTTTTCTAAGTTGAGTTTCCATTCATGCACATGCAAATATTAATTAGACTGATTGGATTTGCATAAGCACAATTTAAAATACTTTCAAATTCCATGACTGTCTCACTTTGTAACCCTCACAGCAGAAGGAGCACTGCATGGAAAAATCAGAGCAATTGTTGAGCATTTTTATACATAGTAAGCCATCCAGTTGGCCAGATTGAATCTTAGGTGGGTCAGTTTATGTTTGACACCCCTGGTGTTGGTGTTTAATGAGTAAGTATAAGAACTATGATTATAACTTTTAACCTTGGAGTCCACACACAGGTTGAATATGCAATAACCTGCACACAGGAAACACTGAAATACTGCTGCGAGCCCTGAGAAATGCAGTTAGACAAATAATGCACTGTGTGAAAGACATGGACTGTAGCTGAACTTAGTTCGTTGCAGTGGTGAGTGCACTCATTTGCATGAGGGTCAACCTTTCCCTGCATAAAGGAAACACTTTGTGATAATACTTAATGTTACCGACTGCCCGTGTTTCAACAATAACTTTTACTTGCTAATATTTCACAAGTACCTCGGCTACTTACCTGAAACAAAAACGTAACCTTTTGACAGTCAAAGTTAAAGAAAGTTAAACATTTTCACTGCGTATCGCTAGATAGAGTTTGAAATCGCACACCCAACCACAGAATCTCAGAGGTTTAAGTGTCTGCATTCTAAGAGTTTCTGCAATTTCTGACATTTTTCAACTCAGATGACTGGTAATCTAATAAGGTTGCGGGGACAGCTATGGCGATTGTGTGAAGCCACATGTTCAAGTGTTATTTGTCATGCTGCTGATGATTAAGTGGAGATTTATTTAGCTGGGTGTGAACCTGAAACCTCTTAATATTTATAAATGCTGAAAGATGTCAAACAGTTGGTTTGTCCACTGTAAATGTGAAAAAAATGTGAGACTGGAAGAAAGGATCACTCAGTTAAAGCCGAAATGAAACCAGCAAACTATGCGAGGGCCGAACCAAAGCAGCACTTTGTGACTTTAGTCGTAAATGCCCGAATCAACCAGACGTACAAAAAAACAGCACTAAGTTTTGACTCATTTCTCTTTGCCCTGTAATTGTGTTCTGTGTTGCCTACAGTGGTATGGCATGAGTGTGTTACACAGTCCCATGACTGCAAAAAACAGGCCATTGTGCTGCCATTGGACCTAGTTTGAGTAAATAAAGTGGACACAACATTTGCCATAGGCTGTACATTTCACTGTTTTGTAATGCCTGAAACTTTAAGACACGATTCAGTTTTGTCTGATTCCCCTTTGCTTTATGTTAAATTGCAGTTTTAACACAATCTTAAGATCACCACACATTTCCTTTTAACAGCTTGTGACTTTTTAACCCTTAAGTTTAGTTGACACTTAGTTTAATGAAATGGCATTGATTAAAACGTGTAAAATGGTAATTGAGCTGCAATATATTTTTTCCGCACATAGTTTTGACACGCAGGGAGGGGCTTTATTCTGAAAGTGGAGTGATAGAACGAGGAGGGGCCAAACGAAGAGAGGATTTAAGGCTATAAAAGACTGTTTCTGTGTGCTCCAAGTCAACGTTTTGCCTTAAACCACAGCACATCCTGCTCCTGTGTGCACCTGAGGACTAGAGCAAAGTTGAGGTAACTTCCATTCTTATTTTTTTTATCTGCTGCAGTGTCTTTTTATGTAATGGATCAGAAACGGCACACTCTAACAGGTAAAAGGTGAAGTGAAAAATTCTTTCCTGGTCTGGGTCCTGGGAGAGCTTTGCAAATGCTGCTCAAAATCTTCTTCTCTAAGACAAATAGGCCATAAAATGTGCTCTAAATTTAAGAACACAACAAATTTTAATAATAAAGATATCATTTAACTGTAACTCATCAGACTGATTAATGTTGATTGGTTATGATAAAGGTGGCAGGAGTGGACAGGAAGTCCAAATCAAGGAAATTTTTTACTTCCTGTCTGAAATTTTACATTTTATGACAACTTGTGCACTATCATCCATATCTGACTCATTGACTGTAGATTAAATGAAATGTTATTATTATTTCATAGCAACAGGAAACATTAAGAAGCAAATAGAAAGTATAGTTAGTTTCAATCTGCATTGAAAAAAGCTGTAAGGTTAACAACGGAGAGTTATTGTTACTGTGCATTCCTTCTTAAGTGCATATAAGTCACCGTGTTGACCCAAATCAATGTGCCACTATGTTTCTCCATGACTCAAGACGTTTACTGTGGTCATCAGCCAATTACTATGTCTCGTGGTAATGGGTAAGCCTTAATTATCTGCGTATAGGAAGTTGGACAATCTTCCTGTTCTACCGTGTGCTGACATCTTGAAAAGCTGTAGAGTCCTCTGGTGGTCACCTTGTGAACTCTGCTGTCAAAGCACAGTGTGACTACAGAGCATGTTCCCAGCTTGTAAAATAATAATGATAATATTTAAAAAAGCTTTCTTTTCATGTCTCTCTCATTTGATATCAGTGTTTGCAACTGCACACTAAGATTTAGCTTCTTTCTATCTCTATAAAGTCCTGTTAGGTTTTTTGTTTTGCTTTGTTTTTTTAAATTGTGGTTTAAAAGGCTAAAATCAATAAAAGCTCCATTAATTTTTTTCTGACAGGCAGCATGGATGTAAGTACTTCATCAAATTCTCAGATCTCTACTCTGGTAAGAATGAGTGCATTGCATTCTCCTCTGTTATCCAACCTTAATTTAAATGTATAACTTTTTGCTTATGTTTGCAACTTCAAGTTGGTGTCCTCCATCGTGTCCACCTTCTCCCTCCCACGTATTTCCATCTTGGCTCCTGACCCTTCTCTTTCTCCATCTTCCTCCTCTCCTCCTCCTCCTCCTCCGCCTCCTCCTCTGTCTCAGCATTCTGATCCTCTGTGTGGCAGCTGCCCGTCCTCTGGTTCTGCCCCACAGGCTAACAGCCTTTGGCCCAGCCTGTCACCTTCTGGAGCTGGATTCCCCACTTGGCCAGGACAGGCCACTCAACCCGCACCGTGCTGGACAGGCCAGCCAAACTCACCCTGCTGGCCTGGGATGCAACCAGCTCCAGTCTCTGTCCCCACTTCAATTCCACTCCAATCTCCCACTCAAGTCATAACACCACCTCCTGCGCCAACCACAACTGTAGTTCCAGCTCCAACTGCAGTGCAGCCCTGTCAGCCTTGCTGGCCAGGCATCCAGTACCAGCCTCCTCAGCAACCAGCTCCAATTCAAGTTCAAGTCCCAAATCCAACTCCAACTCCAGTTCCAGTGCCTGCACCTGCTCCCAGCATCCATCCAAATGTACCAGGCTGGCCTGCAAATCCCGGCTGGCCCTATAACCCGGGACAATCAGGATGGCCTGGGCAGAATCCATCCATCATGCCTCCCCACTGGCTCCCACCCACATCTGGACCTCTAGTGAGTCAAATGCAAGGAACCGGGTGTGTTAGTTTGCTGCCAGGCTGTTTTACTGTGCTCCTCTCTCTTTGCTGTTTAGAGCGTGCCATACAACTTGAACCTGGCCCGAGGGGTGTATGACAAAATGATGATGACGATCTTGGGCTATGTGAAACCTAACGCTAAAATGTAAGCCTGCGTCTGTGTGCCCTCAGTGTCTTTGAAAAACGAGGTGGATTTCATGTTGCATTAGGTTCTTGAGAGCATGTTTTCTTTAGTCTGAATCAGTCTGGTCTCCCGCAGGTTCACAGTGAACTTCCTGAGAGGCAACGACATCGCCTTTCACATCAACCCCCGCTTCAACGAGGCGGGCAAGCAGGTGCTTGTCCGCAACCACAAACTGGGTGAACGCTGGGGTGCCGAAGAGAGAGACCTGAAGGGTCCCTTCCCTTTTGCGCTTGGGAGCCCTTTTGAGGTGAGTGGCAGTGACTGAAATTAGATCAGGGCAGTGGGCTGAAGCACCCATGAGAGGCTATATTGTGTTGTATTAATTGTTGGATCGCTTCAGAGCACAAAACAAACTGAAGATCACTTTTTAAATCATTAATCTCAATTTTCAGAAGTTTAAAACAATTCTTACATTATTAATACTTTTAAAAACTAATAACTAATTAGATGAAACTAAACTAAAACTACTAACGTGCAATAAAATGAGTTTTACTGCTGATCCTTGTGCGTTTAACTGACTCTAGGTCACTTTCTCATGGGAAACGTTAGGCCTCGAAAAAATGGAAAGGGTTGGAAAGTCGTTTGTGCAGGCGGGTCCTAGATAAGGGAGCTGCTATGCTGCAGGGAGGCTCCTGGAGGTCAGTGGGGGTCTCATGTTGCTCAGTAACATCAATAACACTTATGTTTAACAGGCATCGTAAAGAGGAGACTAATCTGTGGAGCTGATTCTGTCTTTGTGTCCAACGGTCCTGGGTTTGTGTTCACTCACATCAATAACACAATGTGTTAACAGGCACTCGTTACTGCTACTTCTTCTAATAACTGATTTGGTGACATTATAATGTGTACTATACAGTACATACAGCAGAAGTGAGCTTTGATCTGTGCAGCATCACTTACATGTCAAATTGTAATACTTTGTGTTGAAAAGACCAATTTTACTTTACTTCTGTTAAACAGTAAGTCTCATTTTTTGTTCTTGTAAAATTAAAAACAGTTATCACAGGTATCACAGCCATGAGGCAGATGCAGATAAAAGGAGCCAGGAGGTCAAAAGCTGGGAAATCTGTGGCACTCATGGGTCATTCTATAACCATGTTTTTGCAATTAGGCTAATTAATAATTGTGTGCTCAATTAATTTTCAGTGATCGCAGATTTTTTTTTTTTAACTTGAAACCAGTGATCGCATGAGAATTCACTTTTGCTGCTCCTGCTCCTGGGCCTGCACTTTCAATGAGTTTTCTCTAAAGTATTTGTTTTACAATGAGCATAAGTGGAAATAACACTGCACTTTTCAACTTGACATTAATTTAATTAATGAGAGGTGACATATTCTAACTGAACAATTCATTAGTTACACCTTGCTAGTATCTTGTTAGACCCCTTTTGGCTAGGGTTAGGGTCTTCGTGGCAACTAATACAAGAAGGTGCTGGAAACATTCCTCAGAGATGTTGGTCCATGTTGACACAACAGCATCAAACGGCAGCTGCACATTTGTTGGCTGAACATCTATGATGCAACTATGAACACAACATCACAAACATGCTCTATTGGACTCAGATTTGGTGTAGAGGCTATTTGAGTACAGTGAACTTGCTGACAGGTTCAGGAAAGCATATTTGTGACATGATCTGAGTTTTGTGACATGATGGGTTATCCAGCTGAAACCAGCCATTAGAAGATGAGTAGAAGATAACAGTAACAAAACTCAGGTAGACTGTGGTGTTTAAATGATGCTCCGGTGGTATAAATAAAATATCCCCATCACCATTACACCACCCTCAGCCTGAACAGTTGATGCAAGGCAGGATGGATCCATGTTTTCATGTTGTTTACACCAGATTCTGGTACGATGCTCACATCTGAATGCCACAGCAGTAATTGAGACTCATCAGCCCAACCCTTTATTGTGTAATATTGAAGACCTTGTGCAAATTGTAGCCTCATTATCCTGGTCTTAGCTGACCGGAGTGTTATCCAGTGTGGTCTTCTGCTGCTGTAGCCCATCTGCATCGAGCTTCAATGTGTTGTGCAGTCAGAGAAGCTCTTCTTCGTATTTTAGTTGTAATAAGTGCTTATTGCCTTCCTATCAGCTCGAAGCAGTCTGGCCATTCTCCTCTGACGTCTGGCATCAGCAAGACATTTTCACCGAGAAAAATGCAGCTCAAGCTTGTGTGGGGAAAATCCTAATAGATCAGCAGTTTGTAAATACTCAGACTAGCTTTTCTGGCACCAACAACCATATGCATTCAAAGTCACTTAAACCGCCTTTCTTTCTCACTCTGATGCTTGGATTAACTTAAGCAGGTCGTCTTGACCATGTCTACACGCCTAAAT